GTCCCTCTCACGTCTCTGCTCTCCACAGGACGATGCCGTGCAGAGCCTGTGGCCTGGCAGTGCTGGCCCTGATGTCCCTGTCCCTCCTGTCCTTGTCCCTTGGCTTCGCAGCCGGTGAGTACTGAGGGGTCCTGGTGAAGGTGAAGGTGCCCGACACCCCCCGTGCCACACACGGGGTGAAAATAACCCCCCTCAGCTCTCCCCGTTTGCTCAACACACAGCAGCTGGTGCCAGCTCCCCTGGGGGGCTCCCTCTGTCCCCAGTGAGTGGCTTTTCTCCTCTGGGACACCGTCCTGCCTTCCCCGAGAGGATTTCAGCTTAATTAATTAAGGTTCATCAAGTGCTTTGACGTCACGAGAGGGGAGATGGGGAAGGGCTGGGCAGGCACGGGCTCGAAAATGTGCTTTTTTCCCCCAGGGTGATGGTGGGGAGCAGGGATGAGCAGCTCAGGACCCTGGTGGACCATCAGGGGGAACCAGGGATGGATCCAGGCTGGGTGCTTGGGCAGGGAGGAGCAGCAGAGCCCATGGAGGGGACAAGTCCCCACTGAGTCCCCATGCTGCCCATAGGGCCACCAACCCCCAGGGCTTCACCCACGCAGCCCCCTGCCCACCCCACGGCCCTGGCACCGGGCAGGGGGGCAAGGGGAGCAGGAGGAAGGGGTGGTCACAGCCGCCTGTCCCCTCCCCGCAGTCTGTCTGTCCCCTCACCCCCTCTGGCTGCCCTCGTGCTCAGCCCTCTCATTCCAGGAGGGATATTTGCTGTGCCAAAGGGCAGAGCTAAACCAGGAGGTCGGGAACGCGGCCGCCCCTTGTGCCAGGGAAAGCTCCGGGCAGGACCCCAGGCTCAGCACCCAGATTCTGACAGGGAGGGTCCCCCCAGTACCCCCTGGGGAGGCACTGGTTGAGTTTGGGGCTTTTTGGACCCGTCCTGCCTCCTGGGATCCAGCTCCCATGGGCAGCTCCAGAGCAGGATGCTCCCACGTTCCCTAGGAATGCTGGGTGTGAGCCAGAGGTTAATCCCAGCTGGAGGGGCTGGATCTGTGTCCCCTGCATGGCCCCTCTGCTGCCCCACCAGGGGGGTGGGGACAGGTGACCTCCAAAACTGGGGCTGGCACTTGGGTCCCAGCTGGGATCAAGCCATTTTCCACAGGGTCTTAGGATGGGAGACCTCATTGAGCACCCACAGTGACCTTCTCCAGCCTGGACCGTGGTGGTTCCAAGTCTCCCACTCTCAAAATTTGGTTCAAGAGTCTCTAGGGCAGGTGTCACTGTCCCCAGTGCCACCAGCATGTCCTGGGCTGGCCCCATGACACGATGTCCCCTGTCCTCACGCCTGCAGATGAGCTGCTGTGTGCCTGTGACGTGCCACACTGCAGCCTGCCCACCTGCACGGGCAAGGTCTGCTTCGTCAGCAAGAGGAAGGAGGAAGGGACCATCACCCAGCACCGGGGCTGCTTCACCGAGAACATCCCGGAAAACTGCTGGGCGTCCGTGACGGAGCAGTTTGGCACCAGGTGCTGCAACTCCAGCATGTGCAACGCTGAGCTGGAGATCTTCCTGCAAGGTATGGGGGCGTGGAGGGGAGAAGGGCAGAGCTGCCCATGCTGCTGGTGATAGGGTTGGGTCTCCAGATCATCCCCCCTCCTCACTCAGCACCTCCAGGGTCACCCTTTCCCAGGTGGGACAGGGTCAGAGAGGTGTCCTTGGTTGTCCCTTCTTGGGTTGTGCCTGCAGAGCTGCCATCCATGGGGTCGGCCTCAATTCCCCAAGCACCAAGACCTCCACCCTTTGAGGTCCAAGCCTGCATGCTCCCATCCATTGTTTCCTCCCCCCTCTAGGAGAAGAGGCCCTGGGAAAGGCACCTTCCCTGCCCAACCTGCTCCTGATGATCTTCGTCCCACTGCTCGCCCTCCTCGTCCTCGCCGCGCTCACCGCGCTCTTCTGCTGGAAGGTGGCCCAGCACCGCCAGAAGAAAAGCAGCCTGGAGGACATGGACCTCATGCTGAAGGCATCCATGGGGGGAGACAGCACGATGGAGGTGGGTGAGCTGCGGGGTGGGGGGGGTTGGGGAACCCCCAGAATGTCCCTGAGGTGTTGGGGGGAGGGATGTGCTGACCCACCCGCCCCCCTGGTTGTGCAGGACCTGCTGACCGACGACTGCACGACGGGCAGTGGGTCAGGGCTGCCCTTCCTGGTGCAGCGCACGGTGGCTCGGCAGATCACCCTGGTGGAGTGCGTGGGTAAGGAGAGCAGCCAGGGGTTTGGGGGACTGCCCTGGATCCCCCCGAAACTGGTGCCCCAGTAGGTGCCAGACCCCTCTTCGCAGCAGCCGGTGGTGGCACCACGAGGCCAGACTTGGGATGGGGGGTTTGGGGCTGATGATGTAGTGATGAGGACAAGGGGGAATGGGTTAAAACTGGAAGAGGGGAGATTTAGGTTGGACATGGAGGAAAAGTTCTTCACTCTGAAGGTGGTGAGACCCTGGAACAGGCTGCCCAGGGAAGCTGTGGCTGCCCAATCCCTGGAAGTGTCCAAGGGCAGGTTGGATGGGGCTTGGAGCAGCATGGGCTGGTGGGAGGTACCCATGCAGGGTGATTGGATCTAGATGGTCTTTAGGGTCCCTTCCAACCCAAACCATTCCATGATCCTACGATTCTGTGACCATCTCAGCCAAAACCCTGTAGACACCCTGAGACCTCCCCATCCTGGTGATGGAGACGGAGGGTGGCGGGGTGGGCGCATGGCTGATGGCCAAGGTCAAGGGACCTTGTGCCACCCCACTGGGAGCTGGGTTCCTCACGGTGTCCTGGGGGGGGCTGGAGGGGCTGTGTGACACGGTGCTGGGGCAGGCAAAGGACGCTACGGCGAGGTGTGGCGAGGTGTGTGGCACGGGGAGAGCGTGGCCGTGAAGATCTTCTCCTCCCGGGACGAGCAGTCCTGGTTCCGCGAGACAGAGATCTACAACACGGTCCTCCTGAGGCACGACAACATCCTGGGTGAGTGGGGGGCCAGGGTAGGCTGTGGGAGGAGCTGTTGGGGGGGCTGTGTGGTGGCTCCATGGTCCTGGTTTTTCTCCCCATCCAGGCTTCATCGCCTCTGACATGACGTCAAGGAACTCCAGCACCCAACTCTGGCTCATCACCCACTACCATGAGAACGGGTCACTCTATGACTACCTGCAGAGGACAGCCCTGGATGTGGAGACCTGCCTGGGCTTGGCTTCCTCCATCATCTGTGGCCTGGTCCACCTCCACGTGGAGATCTTTGGCACCCAGGGCAAACCTGCCATCGCCCACCGTGACCTGAAGAGCAGGAACATCTTGGTGAAGAGCAACCGGCAGTGCTGCATCGCCGACCTGGGTGAGACAGGGGGGTGTGGAACCCTGGGGATGGGGTGGCACAAGGGTGGGACAGGGGTGTGTAACCCCAGGGATCTGGTGGCAGAGGGATGGGATGACATGTGGATGTGGTAGAACAGGGATGTGGTGGCACAGGAACAAGGTGACACAGGGAGGAGATGGCACGGGGATATGGAACTCCAGGAACGCAGAGGCACAGGGATGTGGTGCCCCAGGGATGCAGTAACCTGGGTGTGTGGCACCCCAGGGATGCTGTGTCCCAGGGATGCAGTCATCTGGTCTTGTGGCACCCCAGGGATGCTGTGTCCCAGGGATGCAGTGGTCCACAGATATGGTCCCCCAGGGATGTGGTGCCACAGGGATGCAGTAACCTGGGCTTGTGGTACCCCAGGGATGTGGTACCCCAGGGATGTGGTACCCCAGGAATGTGGTGCCCCAGGGATGCAGCCCCCAGGGGACACTGGCACAGCACTGACAGGACCCACCCCCCCCAGGGCTGGCCGTCATGCACTCCCAGGGCAGTGACTACCTGGACATTGGCAACAACCCCCGGGTGGGCACCAAGCGCTACATGGCCCCGGAGGTGCTGAGCGAGCAGATCCGCACCGACTGCTTCGAGTCCTACAAGAAGACAGACATTTGGGCCTTTGGGCTGGTGCTCTGGGAGATCACCCGCCGGACAGTGGCCAACGGTGAGAGTTCCCAGCTCACTGCTGTGTTCCCAGCTCACTGCTTTATTCCCAGCTCGTTGCAGTGTTCCCAGCTCATTGCTTTATTCCCAGCTCATTGCTTTATTCCCAGCTCACTGCAGTGTTCCCAGCTCATTGCAGTGTTCCCAGCTCACTGCTTTATTCCCAGCTCACTCCCACATTCCCAGCTCACTGCTGCTCTCCCTCCCTCCTTCCCTCCTTTTTCTGCTGGCTTTTTATGTCTGTGTGTGTGTGTCTCTGTGTCTCTGTGTGTCTGTGTCTCTGTCTGTGTGTGTCTGTGTCTCTGTGTGTGTCTGTATGTCTGTCTGTGTGTGTCCATGTGTGTGTTTCTGTGTGTCTGTGTCTCTGTGTGTGTCTGTATGTCTGTCTGTGTGTCCATGTGTGTGTCTGTGTCTGTCTGTGTGTGTGTCTGTGTGTCTGTCTGTGTGTGTCCATGTGTGTGTCTCTGTGTCTCTGTGTGTGTGTGTTGGTTTTTTTGTGGGCTTTTTTTTCCCTTGGCGGTGTTTTTTTCTTTCTCTTTTTTTCTTTCTCTTTTTTTCTTTCTTCTTTTTTTATTTTTTTTTCCCCCTTCCCTTCGCCCAGCAGATTAGCTGTAAATTATAAACACTGTAATCTAGTGTCAGCACCCGGCTCCCTGATTAAAGGGCCCATTAGACTCAATCAGCGCTTTGTTTGTTCAGCGCTGATTAGAAAACAAGCAGCGTCGAGCGCTGCCTGGAAACCGGCCCGGCCGGGACCTCCGGCCAGGGGGGCTGGGCTTGGGGGGCAGGGATGGGGACAGGGATGGGGACAGGGATGGGGACAGGGCCCCCCACACCACGGAGAACCCTCCTCGGGGCTGCTCAGTGCCAGCAAAGTCCGCTAAAAGCATTAATTAAAGGGTGGGCGTTGTGCGGGGGGGTGGGGGGTGTCCCCCCCAGGCACAGTCTGGCCGGGATAATCTCATTTACTGCCCTGGGGCTCCTTCAGATTAAACATTTACTCCGAATTACCAAGGCCATGTGCAAGGGGTGACCTTCAAGAGATGGGTTGAACCTCCGGGATGAGCTGAGCAGCCCCAGGGTGTTGGGGGTGGGGGATCCAGGGGACCCCGAGGGTTGGGGGTTCAGTCCCTGGGGTGCAGGGGACTGGTGGGTGGGTTTTGGGGGAGGGCGAGGGGGTAAACCCCATGGACACC